AAGGGATCCTGCGCCACTTCTACACTGAGAAAATATCCAAGAGCGAATTTGAAGAACTTCCCTACTTCAAGCAGATAACAAGAACAACCCCTAGTAAGTAACATTGTGATCTCCTCGGGTTTCTCTTCTCCATATGAGAAGAGAATATTCTCCTTTTTACTCCACATACTCAAGCAGATAAGCTAATTTTCCCCCAGTACATGCCTTCAGTATTTTGTAGGTATAAATCAAAATCATGAAAATGCAGCAATTTAAAACACAGGCACATGTAAGAGGGGAACGTGGCCATGCTGTGCTGGCCGCCTGTCATTTTGAGAACATACAGGATAGACGGGTCTCTGCTCTCACTGCCATGACTGATGGCAGCGGAGCTGCAGTGCAGCAGCACAATTTGGCTTCATGTAAGCAACGTTTCAAGCGACCATAATTTTTCTGGAAGTTATTCAGGATAGAAAAACTCAACATGATTAAAGGAGTTCTCCTATATATATATGTTATATTTGAAAGAAGACACTCCTATGTTTCAGATTTTTTTTAAAGGAGTTGTAATTCATTTATCACTCTTGACTACATTTCTTTTTTGTATTTCATCCACCTTGGGATATGACAGTTGACTTGACAGTTTAATTAAAGTATAGCTATTTTTATCTCCCAGTTCTTTTGCATGACTAGTTGCCATTTTTATGAGCTTCCAGTTAGGCAGGGAGGTATTTTTCACAGGAATAATCTAGACTTGAGGATACAGGATTAGTGAGGGGTAGACACCTCATGTAAAAGGTTTCCCGATTTTTTTCCTTTCAGCCTTTCCTAGGCTTCCCAGTCCTTGTCACCTGCACTGTTTATTCGAGTTACCAGAACCACAAGCATGTCTATTCACATTACCAAAAATGTATAGTAATGGTAATATCCAAGGAACACAGTCTGTATTTAGCACAGTTAGGCAGAGTTCTCACTGCATGAAACACATAGACTTCCTCCTGACTTTTCAAAACTTTAGTTCACCATCAGATTCCAGTTCTCACATTGCTTTGCCATAAACCAGAGTATCTCACTTCAGAAATGGCTGAAATGAATAGGGGCCAATTATAGCACCACTGAATTAAAGAGGGAGATAATATTCTGGTCCTAGATTATGTTTTTTAAACAAGTTATTTTGCATGGACTCTATTACATGATTGTAAGATGCTTCAAATATTTTCCATGGGAGGATTAGACAGTCTCTCTTTACCATTGTGAATCAGTTTGTCCAGAGAGTGCTTGTAAATGACTCCGACGTTCTCTGTGCCCTTTCTGAGTATCTTTCTCCTTTGTATTTTTGTTTTCAGGCCAGTGGAAAATATTTAGCGAGGGAGAAGCTCAGATCAGCCAAATGTGTGAAAGCAGAGTGTGCAGGACTGAGCTCGAGGATTTGGTAAAGGTTTTGTACCTTGAAAAGTCTGAAAAGGGTCACTGTTAAGGGAGACAGCACTGGAGGGAGAAACACAAGAAAACTTATGAAAACTTGGATCTGCAGCTGGACTGCAGGCTTATTTTGCTTAAGTCAACAGTTGCCCTAAAACTCAAAACTATAATGCAGTAATTATTCACATCATGCACAGCAAATTTGCTGCTTTATGTGTAGTGGTCTGTGTCAACCGTTTAAATATCTCCTCAAAAAGACTAGGAGGCTCTGTATTACTGGTGGGGGAAGGAGAAAAAGAGACTGTAGTTTCTTAGAGTTGCATTTCTTTACAAGTTAAAAAAAGAAAACAGAACATTTTTATTATTATTATTTGGCAAGTTATTCAAACTAATGAAAAGAAGGACACCTAATAAATGTGCAGGAGCTACGGAGAGTATTATTTCCTGTGCTGAGTTTATTCCGTTTCTGGTGTTGAAATGACTCACAGATTTTTAGAAGGGGAGGAAAAACACAAATATAACACAATACTTGTGTTGGAGACATAAAAAACAGATTTAAGCTAACAAATTTGTAAGCAGCCTGCCTTTGGGATGATGTCTTGCAGTTGAGCAAACTGAGTCCATAAACTGAACAGCAGGTGTTAGTGGGAATCACTATATTTTTGCAGCAATTTGAGAAAATCTTCACTTTTAAGTGGTTTTCACTCAGTTTCCACCACCCACTTCTCTAAATAAAGTGTAACGTGTTAGCTCCCTATCACGGCCCTAATAACTTCATTCTTGTGGGTCCTATTAACACACGTCTTGGCTGATATCCTGCCTTACCCGGCGTGTGGCGAAAGGTGGGGAAGTATTCCCAGCACTTCCAAAACTCCTAGCAGGTTAAACATCCCCACTAATAACTCCTTAGGATCGTGACCTTCCTCCACTGATGCTTTCCAATTTGGAAGTGCTGCATTTTCTCATGGTGGCCTCTCACTTCTGAAGCAAACTTTAAGGACAAGCCTCCCCCGTGACAAGTACCAATCGGCTGTAGCGGGCCTTTATGGCAGAGCAGCTTTGTGCAAGTTGCTTTCTTCCTGAAAAAGAAAGCTCCGATAGGCAGTTGGAAGGTTAAGTGGAGTATAGTGTGCCCATGGTGTGCTTAAGGAAGGTGGTTCCCATCTCCAGAAAAAGAAGTACAAGGCCATAACTTGGAAAAACGCTATCTCTGAAGAGACACCAAAATCCTGCCACACTGGCTTGTGGCTGCGCTCCTGGATTCATCCCCAAGATGAAGGTGCCTCCTGCCTGCCTTTGCCCCTGTTTTCTGCTCTGCAAGCAGACAGGGATCCTGCTGCTCCAGCCTACATTGGGAAGCACAGCTCCATGGAAAGGTCTGCGCCAGGGCTGGGTCCTCCCGGTGGGCGAAGTGAATATGGGGACCTGGAGGTCTGTCACTCTGCAGAGGGGCTCCCAGGCCAGGCCCCCTGCCTGGGCAGCCTGCAGCCCCAGTAGGCTTGGATAGAAGGAGCCATGTGAGGAGGGCAGACACGAGTGTGATGGAAAAGGCAAAGGAAATTTGGAAAAAGTACAGAAGGTGATCCAGGACTTTCTAATTCTCAGTCCTTTGTAATTCTGCCTATATATAACCAACAAGTTGTCCCTAGGCCAGGATAGAGAGTAGACAGGGACACTTCCCTCACTGCAGTGTGCTCAGCACGGTCCATTGCACACCAGGAAAACATGCTAAAAACAGAGCTCCTCCAGCATGCAGCTGGATTGGCAAGAACAAAACAATCTTTTGATATCACTAGGACCATATAGAGAAGAAAGACCAAGAACTGGCATCAGGCTGTATATATGAAGTCTTAGCTAGCATGCGGCCGTTAGAAGCTCTATATCACTTTATAAAAAGGAGAGTTAAGTGAATTGTCCCAGCCAGTTTTCCAATAGGAACATAGCCTTCTGCCTTTATACATTCAGTCTTGCTGTCTGAAAGGGGTACAGTGTGTCCTAAGCCCTGTTACGGTGCTGTGGGCTGTGTAGCGGTTTCACACCTGAAGTTACTGCAATGTAATTGGAGGAGAAACAGTTTACCCAGAACTGTGGCGTCTTCTGGGTTCATATGTGCTGTAGAAGTACTAGATACTACTATAAATCTTCTAATAACTCATGGCTGAAACTTATCATTCCTCTGGCGAAGACATTGCAAAGGCATTTGTAGCAACCCGGTCAGAAACACACAGTGATCTGGCCCACCTCATGGACAGTCTGTCTGTAGCAGTAGTTGGTGGACAAAGACTAAGTGGAAAGTGTACAATGTTTGTAATTTTTTTAAGAAGAAGAAGAAGGTAACCTGTTCTTTTTTTTTTTTTTTTTTTTTTTTTTTGACAGGGTCGGGGGGGTCCCAATTT